GTTGAGTTGGCTCATCATCTGTGTCATATTCCAATTGTGATCTTCGCAGTGTCATATTGTGATTGGTTGTTGGGAGTGTGTCAGAGAGAGAGAAAAACTGTGTGTATTCTCCCCTTCTGTGCATGGTTGCTTTTCTGCTGCTTATCTTTGGTCTGTGTGCAGTTGGACTCTGTCTCCTCCTCCCCTTTGTCTCATGCATGTATGGGCGTGTGTGAGTTCTTCTGTGTGTGAGTGGCAAACAAATCGTCAGACAACCAAGTTCATATCACGAGTGAGGACACCAGTGCAAACAGTGACCTGCTCTAGCTGATGAGCGAACATAATGATGCGGAGGAGAGAGCTGATGTCAGCATATTTACACGTTAAACGACTTGTTGGTGCCGTACGTGTACCAGGCCTTACCGCCTGGAGAGGAGAGACAGCTTCATTTAGAAAGTGCTGCCCGTCATCGGCAGAGGGCTAGGGAGTCAGCAGCAACCCCGGAGCGGACGCTAGCAGTAGCCGCCGCCGTTCTGGGCGTCATGGCTACATATCCAGCGACCTCCAAGGTCAGCAGACGTCAGGCACATGTTCTATGTCGTTTGCATCTCCCAGCTGCGGAATGAGTGCAGGGCCTTTTGTAAGTCAGATGGCTCGCTCGCAGTACAACCAGCCTACTCAACTCACTAGGGAGGCCCTAGAGGCCCAGGAAGCAGAGAACCTCTGACTTGAGCTAGACAAGGAACTCAGATACGCTATCGAAAGAGCAAACAAAGCTAAACTTAGGCAGGCTAGACTGGAGACTACGCCGCAGGATAAGGCTGCACTAGGAGGGTTAGATGACTCAACTCTTGATAACACTGGTAAGGTGCTCAATGCGGGTATGCTGAGCATGTACGAGTACATGGACAGCAAACTGGACGATATCTAGTCGACCCTAGACCAGCTACTGAGAGCCATGCACGGGACGGGAAGATCAGTCCCATGACCCTTGCCATGGAGGACTACCCCATGTTGGGCTTCTTGGCCCTGTCTGTGATATGGGGGACCACTACTCCGTTTCCTTTTCCAATTGGTTTTCGCCCGGACCCTTGGGATCCACGTTGTTAGCAGATCTAGGGCATCCACCCACCAATATACCACGTTGGAACAGGAGGAGATTGGTGCGTGGCTGGCGCAGAAGAAGGGAGGAGGAGGCGAAGAACAAGCATAAAGAGGAGGAATTGAAACAAAAAATGGAAGAAGAAAGAGAAAGGAGGAGGAAATGGAACGATTGGAGAAAGGGATAGAAGGAAAAATTGGCGGAGGAAACAAGAGCGATAAATGAAGAAGAAGAAGAAGAAGATGATGATGATGAGAGCGTGGTAAGGAGGAGGAGAGAAGGAGCAGAGGAAGTAGAAGGAAATGCGACGGTGCAGAGACCAGCCAGGCTGGCCAGTTAGGATTCCACTGGGTAGAGGATGTAGATTGGGTGGCATAGTTTGGGTTCCGGACAGAGATGCTGGATGAGACAGAGGAGGAGAGCTGGAATTTGCAGCAAAGTTGGAGGCAGCCGCTGATGATGAGGAAAGTGAGTTGTTGGTCGCAGAAAGAAACAGTTCCCCGATGGGGATTGAGGGCTCTCAGGTCATAGGTTTAAAGATTAGCCAGCCAAATGGAGGATGCATGTTGACTGCTTCATGAATAAATGTTTGTCTCATGTTTTGACCTGAGTCATTTCTAAGCCCCATGACAAGATCTGTCAAATGACGGTTTTTACGCTTGATTATTAATTAAGTCATTTTGATTAAGCATGCTAAGTTGGCTTGCTGGGCCTGAGGCAAGTTGCTTGCATGAAAACGATGAACCAGTGTAAAAGGGGACAGACTGCAGTGACTGGTATTTGTATCCAAAAATTAAGCGAAGGAAGTGGCCAACAGACTTGAGCTTATCTAAGAACCAAAATCATCTCGAGTATCGCCCTGATCTGATTCGGAGGTGTCAATAGCCTTCAACAACATATTGGGCCATTTCTATGCGATCGGCCCTGTGGTAGCTGAGAAGAGCACACAACGCCACCCTCTTCCAATATCATCAGGGCGGAAGCAGCTACGGGTTATGCGTACGCACTAATCACTGCAGAGTATTCTTCCCTGTAATTTCTCCCACGTCTTCTCTAAGCAAGGCTTACTCTTACGGTAACCCCATGCATTGCTTCGCGAGTGATTCCCTGTGTTTTTTTTGTTGGCACGTTGTCAAGAAGGTACTCTCTATAAGCGATGCCTCCTCTTATCACTCGGGCTGAGTTTGCCCGAAAGCTCTTGAGACATTGTTTAGAGTTGTACTAGGGAGTGCTCAATTCTAAGTATAAAAACAATTGTGAATGGTCCGCTGAGAGACTTCACAGTAAGTAGTCGGTTGAGAGGACTGCTGCAGACAATTTTGCAGCGGACTTTTAGCCGATAGCTTTGGCAACGGGGCATGTACAGAAGGGTCTCAGTCGTGTTTAAACAGCGATTGACTGTTACCAGTGTCATAGCTAAGAGTATGGCTTGAACTGCCCATCGATCTGCCCCTCGTAAGGTGCGCAAGCAGATTTCTCTTTTGCCGATTTCTGTACAGTAGAAGAATAAGGGCTAAGCTCAGTCGCCCTGCCGACTAAGTCTTAACTAGGATCGATTCTCTGTAGTATCCTAGTTGAGAAAGAACCCTCTCTAGGTCGTGGCTAGAAGCTGACTCTAGCAATGAACGTTCGGTTAGTGACCCTACTCATCATCAGCAGGCTATTTGAGGAGAACCTTGAAGCTCGACCGACAATCCTGGCTCTCGAATAAAAATAAATTGTCATAAGGACAATGGTAGATGGTCGTGCACAGTGACTCTTTGGTATCGTCGTACTTGCCATGCCTGTAAGAAATTTGTTCGAAGGGGATGAACCAATTGTAGCCAATTGTCTGCAATATGCTGGACAAAAGCACCCTCATAACTTCCTGCACCCTATCCCGAGATAAAAAGGATGGCTGGTAAGGTGAAGTTTTGAGAGAATTGAGGACTACAGAACAACAAAGAGAGGGACCGTGATTGACGAGATAAAGAACTGGTACAAGTTCATAGAGTTTGTGCTCTACACCTGTGGATTCGACAAGAGAATGCACGACACAAGCTCGTCTTTTTTAGGCCATTTGAAGATAAAAAGAGATAGCCAACACTTAGCGGTCCTAAGTTGATGCAACGCCTACTTTTGTGATCTTTTTGAAGATCCTCAGGAACTGTTAAAAAAAAAACAATCCATAGCAAGCTCTCCCACGCTCAGCAATATCATCAACAAACAAACACCCTCTTGGCACTAGATTTCAGTATTGGCATCAATTCCGACAGACAACAGTTGACTCGAGTGCTCTCGCATTGTTCTTTCATGAAACTCAGGTGGAGTCCTTGGCAATTGTCAGAGTGGGGCATCCCATATCTTCGCAACAAGGATCAAACACCAAAGATAGTCACCGCGTTGTTACTGTTGATTCGCTTTCAGGTCAGCCTTAGTCAGTCGGTACTCCCGTCGGAAAGCTTTTGAATCAAGCCTCGTTGTTCATATCTGCTTGTGATAGCGTTCAACCATCCTAGACCAGAGAGTCTGTATGAAATACCTCCAACCAGAACGCTTCAAGCCAATTGACGCCCTGCCGATTAGGCCTCACTCCGGCGTTTGACCAACAGGGGTACACGACCCGCGACGAAGTGCTCAACGGTTGCTAAATAACCTGCGAGCAACATTTACTCCGAGTGTGGAACCTGACAGAGCCACCTGCAGCTCATACCACCCGTTTGGGTCTTGAGACGTAAAAGGGGAACATGAAAGAAGATGAGATTCTGGTGGTAAAGTACATGTCCAAGAGGCACATCGAGACATGGATTCACATAGGCAGGCTCGACGAGAACACGCCGTCCGGATGGTCAGAGGGGAAAAGTACATTGAATATGTATTTTATTTTTATAATTTTAACGGAAAATTGCACAGCATTGAATCGCTCTTTGAGACGGTAGAGCAGGCCAGGGCAAGGCTCAGGTGAGCACAAAAGCGTCCAAGCTTCCTCATCAGCATTCTACCATTAGGTGATCGACAATCAGCAGTTCCCTCAACATTTTAACATTCAGTCATTCGAGTTACCAGAAAGCTTCCGCCAAGATTCGATCAGCATTCAATCAGCATCCAATCAACATTCAATTGTCCAAGTTATTCGAAATTTTCAGTCGGAAATCAATCAGCACTCAGTTATTTTTATTTTTTTTTGCACCAGAGATCAGTTTTACCAAGACAGTGCTTTCATCTAAGTAAAGACACTAGATCAGTTTCAACGCCCAGTATCAGCACATGAGTGCAGTCCAGTCATTCCCAATCCAGGAAACTGTCTTGGCTAGTCTCAACAAGATAGCTTTCAAAAATATTTTTCAGTATTGGTACGTCAGTGCAACTGGCTTCCAGCAAGGAGAACTATCTATCTTTGTAGTTCACAGTGAGTTCTCAGAAGGTATCATTCATTACTTGAGTATCTACTTGAAAAGAGGCAAAGAGACTCGTGAGCACTTCAATTCAGTTTGGATCTCGACAGCCAGGTACCTTGAGGGGAAAGAGAGAGAGCTTGACGAGAATGGTACAAAGCTGCTCCGCAACTTCGGACCTGAGTTTTACACCGACTACCCCAAGCCTCCAGTACCTTTCACTCTCACAGATGGTTCTTGTTGGGGAGACTTGGTAGATCTAACCAAGAGGTATATTTCCCCTGCAGACATTGATTACGAGGCGGTAACCGAACCATCTGAGTTTCGACATCTTAGGCGAGGGATCTTCTCGCAACCATACCGCCTTACACTGTGGGAGGAGTTTTGTGCTATGGTTGACTTCCGTATCATGGGACTTGGATGGAAGTGTTCCGAACTTGCAGGCTTTAGGTGGCTCTATATACAAAGGTCACAATCTTGGGAGGTACATAGGCGTGGCTCAAGGCACAGGAAACGCAATGTCAAATGAGAGATTGAGTACGAACCCCTAGAGGGATAAGTGAGGACTCCTAACAAGTGTTGGTCATGCCTATTCATCTGTACTTTTTGAGATTATGAGTTCTCACTTTTCCCTCATTCATCTTGTCTCTATCTTCAGTCAGCCAGTCCTGCTTCATTTGCATTTGACCTTGCTTGATGATTGTGTTCTCTGATGATCTTGTCACAATTCTCAAAATTAGTAAACTGGTAAAATTGATACATGCATGGCACACCAAAGTTTTATGATATTTATTTGCATGATCTTTGTTCCAAATCAAAATAAAAGATTCCTAAGACCGGGGACCGACAAAGACCCCAATTGAAGGGTCTCGCTTGAAGCCGGACGCACACAACAAGAAAGGATTTGCTTTAATCATTTTTTTTTACTTATTTATTACAAACAAAACCAAAATCCGGCGTGACAGCCTGTTGGCTTTCTGGTCGCCTGAAGTGGCCCGACTAGAAAAAGAGCGCGCGGTAAAAGAGTTGGATAAGTTGTGCCTTGGTCATCCCATGCTCGGGCACGACGATAAGCTCATCCATGGCGGCCTTTAGGGTGTGTGTACACTTTGTCATTGTCGCGTATGGAGTGTGTCAAGTTTGTCGGACGCCCTTATCCCGCTGGTGGCATCCGCGAAGCGTTCTCGCAATCCGGTGAGAAAGTGAGTGAGGTGGGTGACAACAAAGTACTGGACCATGTCATTTTCATAGTGGGCTGCGTGTGCGAGCGACTGCGCAAAGCTGGTCGCTTCCTCTCTCAGAGTCTGAAAGGCTACCAAGACATGATCCTCGAGGTCTAACATTGGCTTCCCAATTGTCGAAGTTCCCCCCCCTCTTTCCGTTGTATGGCTCAGGGAAACGGACCTTGACCCTTTCTCGGTGGTGTTCATTTTTTGCTTCCTTGGGGGCTGCTATTTTGGCACCCTCTATTGCGCCCATACAATTTTTTTTGGTCCTCCCAATCGCGTTTTGTAATTCGTTGATGATATAAGTCATCATATCCTAGTCAAAATCCCAGAATCTCACTAGTACGTACTCAAATGTTATAGCGTGCCCCCAAATATGTTTCAATTGTTCCTGCTGTGCGGTCAGGATGGACTCTACGCTACGGGATAGGGTGTCAATCTTTTTCCCTGACTCAATCTCTTCCCTTAGCTTCCCCAGTCGTGTCTCTATCGCCTTCAGTTCTTTCTCCATTCAATCCGTCACCTCTAGGCACCTTATCCTCTCTTGCGCAAGGCGCAGTTTCCACTCCACGTGTTTCTCCGGTTTCCTCGCTTGTCGACGCAAGGGGTCCCTTTCTTCTTCCAACTCTACTCTCAGTGCCTCTCTTTCAGCGTGGGGAATCATTAACTCCGTTTCTTTGTCTTCTCCCAGGGATAAATTAGCCACCCATTCTCTTACTGCCTTCTCCACCTCTTCTGGTGGGGACCTCCTGGAACTTGCTTCCCCCCTTCTTCGCAACAACCCCTCTCCTTCTTCTTCTTCTTCTTCTTCTTCTTCTTCTTTTGCTGCTGCTGCTGCTGCTGCTGCTGCTGCTGCTGCCTCAACAGC